CTTTCGTGTATTCAGAAAGTGCTGATTGATTGGTGTGCAGTGATGGCTTACTTTCAAACAACCTAATCACAGCTTCAGGGTCATTTCGATGGCAGAGTTCTTTAAGACGAGCAACATCACGGGCTTCATCTGCATCACGTACTCGTCGAGCCAAATTGCCAACATAGCTAGACCGGAATCTCTCCTGAGTGCACAAAAACCCATTCCCTGCGAAATTTTCAAGTCAGTGGGACATAATATATATTCCCAGATATCCGGACAAAACAGGCGCGGTTAGTTTCACATCTTGAAACAAACTGCTACAGAGTATACATGAAAAAGGACCAAAGGATATTCTCCAAATCAGTATGATTTGCCAAAATTGCCGCATTATAAAGAAGGATCAATGCAGATGGTGATGAACAACAGGGACATACTATTACATACCCGCTCGAGCTTCAAACTTAGTAACAGATAAATAGGTTCTGGCAAACAGACTTTTAATCTGTCCATATTGTGATTGATATCGTGAAACCTGTACAGAAAAATTATAAAGCAAAATTAAAATTTGAACTCCGGCAGTTAGCTTAAAAAAATATAAATCATCAATCTGACACGAGCACTAACTAACAAATATTGAATAACCCACTCATATATCGAAATATATTCAACACTTCATCAACTTATAGATGGAGCAGTTAACTTGACATCCAGTCTCAGAGACAGGGACTGAAAATACTTCTGCAACTGCTCTGCATTTTACTGCAAGAACTTTAGCCTTTTTGAAATCATAGGTGTGTCACTTCAAAGACAATACTTCCTAGCTCAGATACATCATATTTCAATTTACGTCCATTACTTCCTGACAGGTTCTCCCTTAAAAACTGCCTTAACACTCTGTCCCCATACAGCACATCAAGAGGGAAAAATCTAAGAAGCAAACAGCCAGCGGTCAAAAACTTCTTGAACTTCAATGAAACTTAATTTCTAATTTCTAAGTCAAATGATGCAGAAAGGTAATCTCGCAAATAGTCATTTATGCCTGCGCTGGTCTGTTAGTCTCATTGCTCGACGGATTAAGCAATTGGAAAAGAAAACCCAAACAGCTAAACATTGCTTCTTCATGTGTCTAGTCTTAATGTAGAACTCGAAATGCATGCGAAACATTGGTGGTATGAGGATTAATGTTGTGTGGACATGGCAGAGGAATAGACTGGCCTTCGAAATCAAATGCCTCCAAGCCATATCTCGGCGAGGTCGGCTGCTCCTTAATCACGCCGTATGAAACAAGGGAAGACAGAGGTGAGGAAAAATGAAATAACTTGATTGCGAAATTAGCAGATCGGTTTCCTCACGAACGCTTCTGGCATTTGGTCCTCCGACTCCGCTCTGGTTGGTGAATATCCGCCCTTTCTGGATTCTAGTTTCATTTCGTTATGCTGTGCCCCCATGCAAATATCCTTTTTTTTTTTTTTCATTCCTTTTAATTTCATTTCTTATTTTTATTAATTTTCGAATATTTTTTATTTTAATTATTACCAGTAGCCTCTCTAGAATATTCTTCAAAACAACCTCTTGGACGAAAGAAAGTATTCCGATGGGTATAATATGGAAATGTGTCTTTCTTATTCAAAATATAAGATAAATTTTGTTTGGAGGGTTAGGTTTTTTTTTTATCAGATAATATTTATTTTTTATTTAAATATTTAATGAGTTTTATTTTATTTTTTTAGTTTTTTTAAAGATAATATTCATTTTTTTATCTAAATATTAATGAGTTTTTTTTTCAATTTCACTCCTAGCATATATTTTATTTATTTATTTATTTATTTATTGCATCTTTTGTTTTTTTTTGGGAATTTTTCTCTCGGTATCTTAAGCTAAAGCCATCTTCCAGGCACATCAACAGGCTCAAACTAATAAGGAGCGGCACTTTGTGGGACCCCAAGGGCAACTTGCCTACCACAAATGTTGTTACGTTCCCAAGTGGGATCGAACCTCTGATCTTAATTAAGCTAAAATGACCCCTAACCAATAGATCTAAGCGTTTGGTGATCTTTTACTTATTTTTATATTTGAAAAAAAAATACATATCTTATATATTTATTGTTTTAAACCGATTTTAACTAATTTTTTATAAACATAAATAGATAAAATTTATCCTATATTTTGAATCAGATAAAGTAATTATGATGCGCCCGGATAGGTTAGTTGATTTTATTAACCCTTAAGAAATATTAATACATTTCATAAATGCGCAGGACAAATTCAAGCCAAGAAGAACTACATCAAACACAATAAAACACACAGGCCATATAGTCAACGAGACATTTGACTTATTAATTTTTTTTCCTGATTTTCGTCTTTGTATCTTAGATAATACCACTTATTATCCTTAATATAAAAGTTATTACCTCCATTTCTTATTATAAGAGCTTGTTTAACTTTTAATTTGATCCTAAATATATAACCCCAATCCATTCTATCTTTTATATTTATTTATTTTTTTCAAAATAATTTTTGCAGTGATTGCACATGTTAAAGGTTTCATCAAATGTTAATTCTAACTAATATATATTATTAGCAAGAATATTCTAGAAAAAACAACACATATTTATAACAAATAACTAACATAACTAATTTTCTTAATCTTATCAAATTAGTTAACTAGGTTTTATAATTAGAACTAGAGGTAATAGCTGATTAATTTAAGAAGATTAAAAAAATTAGTTAAGTTAATTATTTGTAATAAATATGTGTTGTTTTTCTATAATACCCTTATTAGATAAACCTGCTAATTAATGAAACTTTTAACATGTACAACTACTATAAAGATTATTTTAAAAAAATCAACGTATATGAAAGAAAAAGTGTTATGATATTATATTTATAATTAAATTAAAAATCAAAATATACCAACTCTCCTCTCGAGAGAAAAATACAAACTCTGCTCTCTCGAGTTTTCTCTCGAGTGCAGTGAGTGTGAACGTCTCGTCTCGTGCGAGTGTGAGTACAAGGCGTGTCCCTCTGCGGCTTCCACCGGATGAGGGGACGTCTGTGCTTTGGTTTTCCTTGTTTTGTTTCTTCCTTTTGCTTGTCTCTTGTTTGGTTTTACTGATGGAGCTTCATTCTATCAGCACGAAAATAAGAAGTGTTTGGACAATAGCCCTTGCCTGGTGGTGGTTTTCTTAGATCTACTTCTAGCCACTTTGTTTCGTGTTTTTGAGGTTGGGATTATGAAGGTTGTTGGTGACTTTGTTCAATCTATTCCTCATATGGCTTCGGTTGGCTCTGTTTGGTGGTGGCATGTTCAGAATGATAGAGGTAGAAAGCTCTTTGTCCATTTGGTGCTATTGCTAGCTTGGTTGCTGGTCATATTTTCCCTTCTTTGCCTTTGTTCATGGATGTTTCTACAACAATGGGTCTCTCCCATGTTTGCTCCTGCTCAACCGTTTTGGTTGCTTTCTTGTCGATAAAAGGGTTGGGACCTAGCAGATGGTTCTTTGAACCCCCACCCCTTATGGTGGCCTTGTCATCAGCAGCATTTTTCTCTGCCATGGGCTCTAGTGCGATGGTGCAGCGATAAGGAAGGAGGCTATGGCGGTGGCTCTCTACTCCCCTTGTTCTTTTGTTTAGGGCTCGGGTATTGTGTTTGTGGGCTTAGTTGTTTGGGCTTCTGTTTTTTTTGGTTTTGTGTTTGCTGTTTATGTTTCCTTGTAAGTGTTTTTTTCTTGTTGATGGATAATTTTTCCTAGTAAAAAAAAAAAAACTAAGTCATATATTAAAGAGGTAATAGTTCTTTAATATTATATGACCTGTTTTGTTTGAATAGTTGACTTGTGTCTCTCGGTAAAAAAATGTTGACCAAATAGTACCTCACGTACCTTGCCAATGGCTTCCCCCGCTGCGCCCACGGCATCATAGAAGAGAAGTTTCATTGGACATTAGGACTTAACACGCTCGCATGCTGTTTTTTTTTTTTTTTTTTTAAATTAAAGGGGCTGATACTAACATGCGCGTGATGACTAATGAGCACATGTAGTTGGATTGTTTTTTTTGTGTGTGCGTGTATCCGCATCAAATCTTGTTGGCTTAAGGATATCAAGTTGGAACTAATACGTTTACTTCTGGAGCTCGTGAATGGATCAATTGTTCACTTAAATTAAGAAATTGATTGTTGCAAGGTGTGGATTTACTTTACGTTTTCCATTTTTCGGAGAAGACCATTGTTGTAGTTTATACTCCTCCGGTCCTTAATATAGGACCTAATTGTTGAATTGGTTTTGGTCTTAAATATAAGGCCTATTTATCATATTTATCAATTTTCTCTAAATTATCCTTATGGATACTCCTTCAACCATGATCAAGTAGAAGAGGAAGATGGGGTATTAAGAAAGATGATTATGGTATTTTGGGAAAAATGTGTCACATTTCTTATAATTAACTAACTTACCTAACTTCCTTAATCTAATCAAATTAATTAAATGAGTCTTATATTAAGGACCAGGAGTACTATCCGTGAAGACTTCCTTTCCTTTTTTTTTTTTTGGTTAAGTATGGACTTTCTTTGTTGCTTCTTGGAGGCTGCAACAGAAAAAAGGAAGTATAGTTGTTGGAAGAGATGGCTATTTTTAATACTATTGACGAAGACTTCATCCCCCACCCCTTAATATGGACGAAGACATCGAATTTAATCGACTCAGCAACATGGTTCGCCGCGGGGAAAATTGTGGAATTGAACACAAAATACAACATGAATTTTGAATGCGAAAGGATTAAATAAGCCAAAAATGTTGACCCAAGCCGAACCAAAACGAGTCTCTCTTGCTGAATTTCTTTAAAAACTGATAAGGATTCCAAATAATGCAGAGAGAAAATAAATATGTATTCCAGTTGTATATCTTGTATGCCTCTGAAATCTAAAGAAATCCAATTGGCTGAAATATCAAGTGCCCCCCCCCAAAAAAAAAACCCAAAAAAAGAAGAAAATGACAAACACTTGGTCCATATAAAATCAGAGGAAGATCAAACCGCATGGCAAGAGCCATCTGGTTCATATTGGGGCCTCCCCACAAAGATGGAGAGATTAGCAGCCACAGTTCTGTTCATCTGCTTATTTAGTTTTCTGCTAAACTGTGGAATAATTCAGATTGAAGCATCTCCGGGCAGCGTCGATTCAATCCCAGAAACACAGCCTTACCGAACTTCTTACCACTTTCAGCCCTCCCATAATTGGATGAACGGTATCATCTTTACCAACATCATTCTTTCAACATGTTGCTCCTCTCTCTCTGTGTTCTGCTCAAATTCACTGAGATCGTTTCTAACTCGTTTATTTCTACTTTGCTTGACATGTTTTGCTGGGGCAACTTCCATTTGATTCATCAGATCCAAATGGTAAGCTTTTATCAGCGCAAACCTTCACTGAAATTGACACGTAAAATTCTCTGTTCCATTTGAAACTGCTCTTGTGGCGAGTCAACTTGAAATATCACTAATTTCAGTGAGATGAGATCCGAAACTATGATCTGATTATGATGAAGAACGTTAATTATATTGCAGGACCGATGTACTACAAAGGAGTTTATCACTTATTCTACCAACACAACCCTTATGCGGCAACATTTGGGGATAGAATAATATGGGCACATTCTGTATCCTATGATCTCATCAATTGGATTCATTTAAATAATGCTATCGAACCAAGCCAGCCGTCTGACATTAATAGTTGCTGGTCCGGTTCTGTGACGATCCTCCCAGGAGAAAAACCCGTGATTTTGTACACGGGGATTGATGCTAACAAACACCAAGTTCAGAACTTGGCTACTCCAAAGAATCTATCTGATCCTTTCTTGAGGGAATGGATCAAATATCCTCACAATCCTATCATGAGGCCGCCCATTGGAGTTGAGCTCGATAATTTCAGAGACCCATCCACTGCTTGGCTGGGAAAGGATGGAAAATGGAGAGTCGTAATTGGTGCTCAGAACGGTGATGAAGGGAAAGTGATTCTGGGCCAAACTGAGGATTTTGTTAATTGGACTGTAGATGCTAATCCCTTCTATTTGTCTGAAAATACTGGAGTAGTTGAATGCCCGGATTTTTATCCAGTGTCCATTGAAGGAGCTAATGGAGTCGATACATCTGAAGAAAATCTCAACGTTAGGCATGTACTGAAGATAGGCTACTTGCGTATTCCACACGACTTCTATTTTCTGGGTAAATATCTCTCGGATCAGAACAGCTTCATGGCTGATACTAAGTTTACTGGAACTAGCTTGGATTTGAGGTACGATTATGGTAAATTCTATGCTTCGAAGACGTTTTTTGACTATGCCAAGAGCAGGAGGATCCTCTGGGGATGGGTGAATGAGTCAGACACCAGACAAGATGATATAGACAAAGGATGGGCTGGTCTCCAGGTACCTTGGTTAATACTTACGGACGTTTAAAGGGTATGTTCAAATCTTCTGTCACATTGATACTGATTTTTGGCTATGCAGTCCATTCCCAGGCAAGTTTGGCTCGATAAAAGTGGGAAGCGTTTGGTACAGTGGCCAGTTGAAGAGGTGGAAGAACTGCGCAAGGAGCAGGTTAGTATTACTGGAGAGAAGCTCGTGAGTAAATCACTCCTTGAAGTTTCAGGAATCACAGCTTCACAGGTATGCCAGAAGGGTACACTTCCCCCCCCCCCCCTCCCTTCACAAGGCCAGTTCAATTTCTTACGTTTGTTTTGGTCTTGAAGGCGGATGTGGAGGTGTTGTTTGAGCTACCTGATATAGAAAACGCTGAGGGGATAGATCCCACAAAGGTTGATCCCCAGATACTGTGCAGTGAAGAATATGCAGCTCAGAGTGGGATAATAGGGCCATTCGGTTTATCAGCATTAGCTTCAGAGGACCAGACAGAGCAAACTGCAATCTTCTTCAGAATATATAAAGCTCCCAACAGATATATAGGCCTAATGTGCAGTGACCAAAGCAGGTTCCTTTAATTTCCCAGATCTCCTAACTTTTTTTGTTTTTGTTTTTTAAAAAAAAAACCTTTGACTTGATGTTGATTCTCAGTGATGTGGTTGGGAGTTGTCTACAGGTCTTCGTTGCGGAAAGATCTCGATAAAACAACATATGGATCATTCTTTGACGTAGATCCTAAGACCAGAACCATCTCACTCAGAAGCCTGGTACGCGTATTGGTATATTGATACTGATAGTTCTGCTGGATCACAGTTCCTGAATTGAAGTGTAATATGTGGTTATGGTGATTAATGCAGATTGACCACTCCATAATTGAGAGTTTTGGGGAGGGGGGAAGAGTTTGTATAACCTCAAGAGTATACCCGTCCTTGGCTATTCATGAAAACGCTCATCTTTATGTTTTCAACAATGGATCTCAGAGCGTAACAGTTTCCAAGTTGAATGCTTGGAGCATGGGCAAAGCAGACATCGGCCACCAAGACACAATCAGCTGCTTTTAGAAATCTTTTTTTTTTTTTGGGCTGTTCTCTGAACCATTGGTGTATCAAGGAAATAAATGTTTATTTTGTCTCTGCATGCCATTGCATTGATTTAATTTAAATTAAAAATTATCGGAAGATCGCAATTCTTCATCTTACTGGTGTCTTTATCCTATTTATATTACTTGAGCTATCCTGTTACAGTGCTACTCCAAGGGAATGAGCTTTTTGCTATTTCTATACTTTTTACTATTATAACAAGCAGAGTTTAAACTTTTTTGTTTAGGAAAAATTAGCGTAAATTAAAAACAGTAATAACAAACAGGCATTCATTTCAATTTCTAATATATATACATAAGTAATGTAATGTATTTTATTTTGTGAGTTGGCCGTTTATTCACTCAAGTAAATTGTTTGAATTGTACTCTCTTTTTTTATTTCGTTTAAAAAATATTAAAATAGGTTGCCTCAGCCCTCAAGTATGTATTGTGTAATGACTTTCAATATTAAAAATCTTACTCGAATGTTCCAATGAAAATGGTTTCTTAGTTTATATAATTTAGGGAGTGTTTGAATAGAAACTAAACCATAGTTTCAGAAGTGTTTTTACGGATTACGAAGTAAATATGTGAAGGAGGTTATCTCGTTTTGCGGAAAAGTGCTTCTGAAACTACGGTTTTGGAGCACTCAAACAGGCCTTACACGCCAAAACGACCACGGACCGACCTTCTCTCCGCTGCCAGGTCCCCCCATCGGCTGCCCTCCTTTACCCGCAGCACTGCCGTTTTGGGGTTTTTTTTTTTTTTTTCGGCACACACGGGGACCGGGGAGGCTCAGAAAAGGAAAGCACCAGAAGCGAGGGCCGACGCGACGAGTGGTGTGTGGATTATGGAATAATGGGAGCTGCGGAGATAAAAGCAGCAACTTTGGAAAAGGATAATTACTACACGTGGAATTATCCAAATTGCATGGATCGAGAGCTGGATCGGATGAGAGGGATGGTGGGGTTAACTTGACATGTTTATCAATCGTTGCCCCGACCGGCGCTTCAAACCCACGCTTTCATGAAGTGTGAAATTGCATGCCTGAGAATCGGGCGACTTGGGGATTAAATACCTAAAACCCCATCGATTGATTGACTCTTGATTTGCATTAATTTGACCAAAGAATCAGTGGCCTTCCTCTTTAGGTAATCATTGGCCTTCCTCTTTAAGTAAGTTTTGGGGGTGCGGTTTCGCGTAAGATAGTCTAAGAGGTGGATTGAGGAACCTCGTGGAATCAGCCGATCGAATGATGACTCCAGATGATGGCGACCAGGCAAAAAGAAGATCAAAATCGGGACAAGAATCAGTGAATCCAAATTCTTGGTTGATGAACTTTAACCGTGATCTGATGGCCGGAGCAGTCGTGGGTGGGGTGGTCCACACCGTCGTGGCTCCAATTGAGAGGGCGAAGCTTTTGTTGCAGACCCAAGAAAGCAATATGGCCATTGTTGCCAATGGGCGTCGGAAATTCAAGGGCTTGTTGGATTGTATAGTCCGTACCGTCAAAGAAGAAGGCTTTCTCTCTTTGTGGAGAGGCAATGGCAGCAGTGTTCTTCGCTATTATCCTTCTGTCGCACTCAATTTCTCGCTCAAGGTCTGTTTCTTATTGCTCCTCTGTTTTCCATATTCTTTCCCGCTTCTTTGCTACTTGTGAGTATATTTACAGGAAAACGCCACATCTGTTTACTTTGTCTGGGTCTTTATTGCATTTCTCGCAATTCATTGGTCGGACTCCTCTTGTTGTCTTACTCATTATTGTGTGGCGGACTCTCCCATTCGCTGAGGTCGAGTTCTTCTTGCATTTCTTGTTTTGTGAAGGGTTTTAATTTGATAACTTTTCACTACTATTGGGTCTGAGCTGCCATTTGAGAGTTCGACTGATGATGTTAGAATTGGCGGTGGTGTCGTGTTGCTGAACAAACTTTGGGGGAATTAGCTACCATTTCTTGTTTATTGCTTACCATTGTCTGGGATTAATCTTATATCCAATGAGCCAAGAAACTTTTGCCTTCAATATTTTCTTCTTGGACTTCCAAGGAGGGGACTTCTTGAACCACCGTGGTCACATCCATCCTGTAGAAGCCCTTTCTTTGGATAATCCGCCCATTTAGGGCTTCAGTTCCAGGATTGTGTTTATTGCGGCCCTTATATGCGACTTTAGTCTCGAATGGCCTTTTTTGGCTTGTTCCAATGTCACTTTTGGTTAGTTATGTCAAATTTTGAATATAATACTCACTGGTTTGGTTTGTTCATTCAATTCTGTCCCTGTCCTTCACCAAATCGCAGTTTCTGTTTTCGTCTCTCTACATATCTCTTTTTGTTCTATCCCTTATAGCCATTTGCCCCGACTTCTTGGGCAAATTTCAGCCAATCCTACAGATTTTGATTTGTAAATTTTAATGCGAGAGAGGTCTTCTCATTCTTGTTTAAAGTTCTGTGTTTTCTTCTTGATTTTTTATTTTCTTGATCTTTCTTACCTAGAGCTCTTTGTATTGACAAGCGCTGGATTAGCCAAGTTATCAGAGAACTATAAACTATTTGTGAACAGTTGTTTTGCCCGTCTATCCTTCTTTTGCCCCTTCTGATATTTTAACCCGTCAAACACGTTTGGTCCAGAAGATTGTGAGTGCAGCCAGTCAACTCTCCCCTTTCCCTTTTGTGCTACAACGTGAGATGTCATTTTTCATGTAAAAGTTTGGCAAAGCATGCAAATTTCAGAGGAAAATTACTTTTCCAAAGCTGAGATATTGGTTTGTCAGTCTATTATATGTTTATGCATCAGCTTGGGATTGTTCTGTCATCTTACAGTTTATATATAGAGTGTTGACAGATTTGTCTTCGTTCTCAGGATCTATACAAAAACATATTGAGGAGTGGAAACTCGCGTGAGAGTAATTTTCTGTCAGGAGCATCCGCTAATTTTGTTGCTGGTGCTGGAGCCGGCTGTACAGCACTGATCGTAGTATATCCACTTGATATTGCACACACCCGCCTTGCTGCGGACATAGGACGAACAGAGAAACGTCAATTTCAAGGCATACACCATTTCTTGGCCACAATATTGAGAAAGGATGGGATCAGAGGGATTTACAAGGGCCTCCCTGCCTCTTTGCAAGGAATGGTGGTGCATCGAGGAATTTACTTTGGAGGCTTCGATACCATAAAAGAAAAATTATCTGAAGAATCAGAAGGCAAGTTAGCTCTGTGGAAACGTTGGGTGGTGGCTCAGGCAGTGACATCATCAGCTGGGTTGATATCATATCCATTAGACACAGTTCGGAGGAGGATGATGATGCAGTCCGGCATGGAACACCCCGTGTACAGTAACACCCTCGACTGTTGGAAGAAAATATATAGGACGGAAGGTCTTGTTTCATTTTATCGGGGGGCTGTCTCCAACATGTTCAGGAGCATCGGAGCTGCCGCCGTGTTAGTCTTGTACGATGAGGTCAAGAAGTTCATGGATTTGGGTCCATTGTAATACCAGCCATTCATATGTTCATTCGTTCCATTTTAACACACAAATACCAACCACATTCTCAGAATTAGGATGACTTCGGGCTTTCTACTGTACAAATGAGCATCATTAACTAGCATCTGCTGTACTCGGATGGTCCGAATTTTCATTGTAACGACGAATAGGGCATTTGTGTTTGTTTACTTTACTGTTAGTAAAAAGTTCACATAACTTTGTGTATTTTAAATTTTTAATGTGAATAGGTCTTGTCCAGACTTGCGTGTCTGGGAGGGTAATCATGAGGAGGTAGGTTATCATGACGTGAGTGAGAGGCCAATGTCAACACCAGGAAAAAAAAAAATTTATTGGAAAAAATGAAGACGGGATTTAGATTTTTTTTATTTTATATTATAGATATAGATGGATGGTTTTGGTCAAAATTATTTTTATTAATTATTATTCTTTAAGCTACAGGTTTGTTTTAATTTTAATTCATATCCTTTTTTTAATTAAAAATTTTAATATCTTTAATTTTTAAATTGCTAAAAAAAATCACGTGGTCTATTAAATACATGGTCACCAAAAGATATGCAAATATGTTTCATATGAGATTTTACGCAAGTTATATATACAGTGAAAATCCCGGACCATTTAACTTAGCTTCTCAAAAAATTAAATATTGCTGGTTTGGTATCTTAATTCCATCTCCTCGAAATATTACTGACCGTTCAACAGAGCAAACGCAGCAGCTTTAAACAAGAAGGCAAAACGGTGCTTTGACCAAAGCTTTTACTTTTTTTTTTTTTTTCCTTGCACTTGTTTACAAATTATTTTTAAAATTCCAAAAAAAAAAATTAAGGGCATTACAACTTGATTTAGATTTTCGCCCCTCGATCGCCATTTTCCTACATGTAACACATTTTGACCGCTCTTGACATCATTATGATTACATATTGATAATGATTGAGATATTTGAATGTCTCCAAAATTGAAAGAATAGCTTTAAGTTACTGATGAGAATAAAATTTGTATAGCGTGATATGAAAATGGAAGACAGTCTTTTACAATGGGTCCAAAAATTACGTATTTTGATTTTACTGAACATTAAATCTTCTTCATCTTATAATGTAAAATTGCAATCTCAAATGTCAAAAGGAATACACACACGTCAACATATATAGTACTCCTACGGTCCTTAATATAGAGTCTAATTGTTGAGTTGGTTTTGGTCTTAAATATAAGACCCATTTCTTATATTTATCATTTTTCTCTAAATTACCCCTATGGGTATTCCCTCAACCATAATCAAAGTAGAAGAGGGAGATGAGGTATTAAGAAAGATGATTATGATGTTTAGGGAAAATGTGTCATATTTCTTATAATTAACTAACTTACCTAACTTCCTTAATCTAATCAAATTAGTTAGATGAGTTTTATATTAAGGATCGGTAACATTTTTTATATTAGATTCGTTTTGCCGGGTTTGATTCTGAACTATTCTGTGCTTCAATTGCTTGCCGTTGTGGTTGTTGATTAGATTTTACTTTAGCAAGTAGGACCTTTATTTGACTTTCGGTAAGCATTTCATGTTCCAGAAGACCATTTTGCAAGGGCGTGAAGCTCCCCACTGTGAGTGATCAGAATTGTTTTTGCATTGTCGTAAGCTCTCTCCAGAAACAGGTTGACCTCCTCCTCAATAAAAAGCTTAGTTTTTGAGCTCGTCTTGATTATCCCATCCTCATCATAATGGCAAGTGACAAGTCCCGCTCTTCTGCTCATGCCATATTCAGTAACCATAGCCCTGACCAGATTAATTGCTTGCTTGAGATCATCCAAAGCACCATGAGTAACCTCATTTTCTCCGAAAATCAGGCTTCTGCAACCCGACCAGCCATGTGAACATCAAGGCGGGCAAGCACCTGTTTGCGGGAGACATCCTTGTCGGCAAATTGAGTAACCGTGCCCAGAGACATTCCTCTTGGGACAATCGTTGCCTTGGGAACTGAAAGTGCCCCATCAGTATGAATTGCCACAACAGCATGACCACCCTCATGGAAAGCAATCATCTTTCTTGATTCCTCATTTATGACAGCTGACTTAGGCTCACTTCCCATCAAAATTTTGTCCTTTTCATGCTCTAAATAAGTCATGTTCACAGCTTTAGCACCATCTGACACAGCCTTGAGAGTAGCAAACATTTACCAAGTTTGCAAGGTCAGCACCAGAAAACCCAAGTGTTCCTGTAGCAATGATCATTAAGTCAACATCGTCAGCCTTAGAACCTGTTAAGGCATTCCAATTGCAATTAGAAAATCAGCAAGAGTGTGGATTTTATATAAAAACAGGTCAGTTCACACGTAATATAAAAGTGAAGCAAATAATAAGAAGAAAAAGAAAAAGGCATTTCCCAGGTTTGCACTGCCAAAGTGCATCATAATAAGCCATCCAACCCAAGCCATAAGGATGCTTCGCGAGAAGAGAATCATACCTTGGACAAGTAGAATTCAAGAATCTGCCGCCTTCCTCCTACATCTGGATAGGGAACAACAACTAAGCCTTGTCCAGTGACTCAGGAAAATTAGTAGCTGCAATCACAATAATGCCTTCATTTTGCTTGAACCCATCTAGTTCAACAAGCAACTGATTTAATGTCATCCTCAGGTAAATCTGGTGCTTTAGGTTCCTGCTTGCTCCAATAGAATCTTGAGTGTGAACCATTTATGTGAGCAAGGACTTGTACCAGAATTATCTACCTTAGGATCTCTGAGATAATGAACAATTTCTTGCAGCTCTGTTTTGTCTCATCGACGCCTTTTACATCTCTAAATGTTGTACTTGAATACTTGCTAGGTTGCACTTCTTCATTCATAACAGGTCCTGAGAAAAATGAGCCAGCAAAGCAAAGAACAATGTTTTCATCGAACTCAGATTCCATACAGAATGATCCTCAGGATCTCAAAAGTCTCCAAGACAAGGTGTTACCGTTACTGATTCTCTTATCTTTAATAAGTGCTTTTGCACCGGAAATCCAAATCTGGAGGAAGACCACAGCAAAGGACCGAAATGCGCGCCGTAGTGCTTTTTAAGATTTCCACCTTCGACAGCCGGAGCACTTGCAGTTCCAAAAATTTTCTCTTTGTGCGCTTCTCCACATTTTTTAAAGCATCAAGGCAACCAATACCTGCAAATCCACTGGCACGTGGCTATAACTTGTAGTTCACATAATTTTGCTAAGTATATAGGATTCCAAATAGTTATTGTCCCATATAGACAAGAAATAACATTCTTCACATTAGTCTGTGTTTGAAGCAAATATTATATATGATCGGAGCCACTGTACAGATAGGTCATAGCACAAAGCATGTATAAACTTGAGCAGGCAGTGTCACAAACATATCTTTGGTTGCTAGCTTAACAAAATCCATTTTCCTTGAGCAAGTGCTGTAAGAATAGGCAGAGATAATTAAGCAGGAAAGAGAACAAAAAGCTACTGCGTCCCCGCCATGTCTTCAATAATTGAATTTCTTCCGGCCGATCAGCTTTCAGTAATTGTTCAATAAGTTCAGAACCTGGTGGCTCATTCTCAAACATTCTATTGAAGGCTTCTGTGTCATATCACCGGTAAAGTTCTTTAAGGCGGCCCACAACATCTGCAATATCACGTACAATTTGACGAACCCCGTTGCTGATTCTCTCCTCAGTCCTCACTGCACATGAAACCTATTCCCTACACAACTACTCTTCAGTCCTTAAAATATGACCCAATTCTTGAGTTGATTTTGGTTCTAAATATAAACCCATTTATCATATTTATCAATTTTCTCTAAATTACCCCTATAGATACTCTCTCAACCATAATCAAATAGAAGAGGAAGAAGAGGTATTAAAAAAGATGATTATGGTGTTTTAGGAAAAATGTGTCACTTTTCTTATAATTAACTAACTTACCTAGCTTCCTTAATCTAATCAAATTAGTTAAATAGATCTTACATTAAGACCGGAGGAGTATTTTTTTTTTGGGTGAATTAATTAGTCAATTACTACCTTTTATCTTTTTATATAATTAATTTGAAAAAATTAAAAAAATTGTTTAGTTGGTTAACTATAATAAATGTATGTTGACTTTTGTAAACTATTCTTTTCAATAATATGTTTTGAAATTGTCCCTTAGAGAAAATATTACAAGTTAGTTAAGTTAGTTATTTATAATAAATATGTTACCTTTCCTAAAATACCTTTATTAATCATATGTATTTGAATTAGCCACTAATAGTAGCTTCTTAACAGATATAACTATTATATGAATCATTTGTGGACAAAATAAATAAATATTAAAAACAAAATAAATTGTAGTATTATATTTAGAGTTAATTTAAGCATAAAATTAGTTCTCATATTAGGTATTCAATTTAAGGAACAAAGATGACCTGTGAAATCAAATGCCCCCAAGTCATATTATTTCAGTGAGACGCCAAAAGAGCTCGGTTGACCTCCTAAGTCACGCCGTATTGTTTCACAAACCTTAAATAAACCCACATTGGGAGCACATACCTTCTTCGTATAGAGCGCTGGTCATAATCTCATTTGCAGCAAATCCTCCTTATTCTTTCTTGTACGTTGAGTTTAAAAATCATTTGCAATAAATGATAAGAATGAAAATCAAGATAAAAATAAATTAAAAAAAAACTCCTCCTTACCATAAATATTAAGAAAACGGGGTTTTGATTCATTAGTAAAAATCTCATTAATATTAATTGGTCTGTGAATCAGGAAATGTGATGTGGAGTCATTAAAAAAAAACAATGAAAAATAAAAATCTCTTATTTATAATCATTTTTCCAAATTAGAAATGTGAGTCACGGTCATTATGGAGAAACAATACAAAATTAAAAAAATAAATAAAAATCTCTCATCTGTAAATAAATAAATTTCTTTTTTAGGAAGTCCAACTTTATAAATAAATACTTTTTTCCTTTCACTTGTAAATAAATAATTTTTCCTTTTTTGGGGTCATTCACATGGAATCCGGAGCGCATAACCCAAGCCTGAGTCCGGCGCAAGCGATCTCGGCGTCCCACAACTATCAGCAAATAATTGGTGTGGTTTTGGTACATTAACAGCCTCCACTTCCGGAGGAAAGTGTATAGGACAGATCGAAGGTCTTGTTTCATTTTAACGCTGGGCTACGTCCAGCATGTTGAGGAGAACTATGCATGTGTGTGTGCGAATTTGGGTCCCTTGTAACACCAACCAGATTCATATGTTCATTCATTCATGGCTTTCTACTGTACAAATGTGCATTTTCATCCTATAATACTATAATACTCTCAGTCCTTAATATAAAATCTATCTGACTAATTTGAATAGATAAAAAAAATAGTTAAATTAATTATTTGTAATAAATAGTTATTATCTTTCTTAAAGTATCCTTAAAATGTATTGGCTAGAATCACTATAATTATAAAGACTATTTTAAAAAAAAATAGATAACTATAACAGCTAAAATGGATTGAAATCTTATATTTAGAATCAAAACAAAAATCAAACAAATTTTTATATTAAGAACCGGAGATAGTAATTCCCTACTTCACTTGATAGTATCAGCCACAGTGCCATACAGACATTTGTTTCTCTATTTTCATCGGACGTTCGAAATTTTCGTGGTAATGACTAGCTGTGCATTTGTGTTTGCTTACTGTTAGCGGAGGCTCCCTTTGACTGTCCTAGACCCGACTGGTGTTTGCATTATTAAAACCTCTTTTGGTGCCACATGACGACACCTAAAAATAAGGAGAGAAAAGTGAGCCGATGATGTGAAAAGGGATTGCCCTAATACCTTGTGTGTGTGGGTGGGAATCATAAGGAGGCAGCTTCTCTTACGTCAGGCTATGATGACCCTACATAAGATGGGCCCAGCCAGTGCGTGTTACCTTACATGTAAAATCAAAGGAATGGGCAATTGGGCATGCACGCCGCTCCCCGTATTTTGCAAATTTCATTTTTCCCCCCCTTAAAAAAGAGAGGAATTGGAAAGCGTAAGAGCACTAACTTATTCACTGTTAAATTGTGGGCATGGCCTTGGAATTATTGGAGGAGGAAACTGTGAAGAGTATGATGAGCAACATGTCTTTTCCCAGCCCAAAGGAAAATGAAGGGGTCCCATTGGTGGGAAGTGGGGTTATGACTCTTCCACATCGATCTATCATACATCCACCTTTCAATCCCACTTTCTTTTTCTCTATTCGAGGGAAAATAGATCTTCCTTCCCTCCCTTCTGCCAAAAAATTTCCAACCCTCCTCTCTCCTCTGGTTATATATACCTAGACACACACACTCTTCGAGTTCTCAAATAGAAAACTCATTTTATAAGACAATCTGCCTTTTAAATGAGTCTTATACCGAGTCTTATATTAAGACTCTGAGAAACATATATATATGTTGAGTTACCTAGAGCTCTGTGAACTGTTTTTATTTCCACTGGTTTCGTTAGGTTCTAGCAAATGAGAAGTTAATTCAACAAAAGCAGCAATTTTTTTAAAGCATACATATTCGCAAAGCGAGAGACGTTTAACGTAGGTGTGAAGGCCATGTATATCATCATCAAACATAAAAAGACAAGAAGAAACTTGCTTTTTAAAATTTAAACTCGTGTCTGAATATATTCTCCTTTGACAAGGAGAAAGAACCATCGGTTTTTCCCCCCATTTCGACGGGACACATGGGACGTGATTAAATTTTAAAACAGCTTTTCGATGGGCAATAATTGAAGGTCCCCTCGTCACTATGAATCTTTCATGCAACCTTCAATCAGATCGATTCTTGTTCATGAGCGGCTCAGCCCCAAAGGGCAAAAGCTTGGGGCTATTTTGGTTGTCTGCTTCGTCACCGTAAACGGCTTGTGGTCCCATACCATCGAAAACCAGATAGCAACCCCAGATTAGCCTTCCATAAACGGAGAAAACACGAGCTAGAAATATCCCAGTTTTCCAGATTTTTAAATCTAACCCTATGAAACCTTTAACAGAGAGATAGAGATAGATAAGGTCGGGAGGGAGAGCGGTGAGGCTATTGGGCTATGAGCCCTACCTACGACCCTGATTGCTCAATAATTGCGAATGGGACCCAATCCACCACGGAGAGTTCTGAGTCTGACTACAACTACATCAATCTATTCTGGTTTTGGTTTAACGTTGAATCCAACCGACGATTTCTGCACTTCCTATACACGTGTTCCCTCTCCAAACGGCCACCGTATACCCAGAAAACCTTAGCTCTTGGCTCATACCCTCTACCTCTCCTATGGATTGGATTCAACGCTTTTTTGGATAATGAAAACCTGCCCTTAAATTCCCATACGCTTGTTTTTCATATCAATACCAAACACCTCGTGCCTAGTATTTTTTAGATTTCAGATTTCGTGGACAGTACACACCAGTCATACATTTCCAAGTTTTAGTTTTTAATTTACAGTACATATGGAGGCAGGAGGATGACGATATGGATGAAATCATACCCAGAGAGCACCGACTTCGACGAGCCTGGGGACGAGGCGGCCACTGACGTGGAGGGCAACGAGGGACTCCAAGCCGCCGATGCAGGTTCCGCCGATGAATACGGTGGGGGCGCGATTATTCGGAAGGGCTTGGGTGCCGTTGTTGTCGGAGAGCGGCAGAGCGGCCATCTCACGGTCGTCGAGTTCGATGACGGCGGGGTGGACGCCGATGGTGGCGAGGAGGTTCTTCATGACGTGGCACATGCAGCAGGAGGATCGGGCGAAGATGACGACGGGATGCTCGGATATGATGCGCTGGATTCTACTCTCAGCGGACTCATCGACGTCGATGGACAAGGAGGAGGACGAAGAAGACGAGGCAGAGTTGGTCATGGGAGTAAGGTCCAGGGGTACGACGTCGTTTGAGCAAGGGCGTAGGCCTTGCATCCTGCAAATTATAGATGTGCAGAAAGGGGAGAGTGCAGAGAGATAATCCGTATGTCAACGGGAGAGGCCTCGGTGCGGAGTGGGGAGCGCCTCGTCAGTTGTGAGCAGAGTTTTATATAAAAGGGAAATTGGTGGGGAGTTGCTTACGTCATCTCCAACTGTATATGGCCTTCCCTCCTCGGCATTCTCAATCACTCCACCCACGCGCTCTATGCATCGTCGAGGATTACGAGGGAGGAAGGGTGAGTAATCGCCGACCAGGGATCGCGCGTGGGCGAGGTGGTCAGATGTTCATAAAGTATGATGACGTCACATTGACTTATAGGGGAGACGGTAATTTCCAATGATGACGTAACCAAAAGTTAAAAACTTGGAAGCATGGGGGAATAGTGGAGTGGAGTGGAGTGGCGTGGAGTGGGGGTGGGGGTGTGGTGTTCCTTCCCTCCTCACGCCCATGACATAATCATCGGAGGGGCCTTACACTTCGCTCGTCATCGTGACGTTTCCCGTCAGACACGTGGCCTGATATTTTATTTTCCCTCAGCCGAGGAGCATATGGTAGCATCCAATTACACATTGCCACGTGTCATCTGTCTGCGGGCACCAAGGGCGGCGTGATGTGGACACAGTCGCGTATGCGAAGCTTGAGGGGGAGGAAGCCAATTTAAAAGGTGTTTGGTTCAGTCCGAAAATATTTTTTATTACAAGATTATTTTTGAAATTATAATTTAGGTCTCGTCTAAACACTTCCTAGTAACTAAATTTTAATGTATTTTTTTATATGTATTTGGTATATCATAAAATTATTTTTAAAATTATGGTTTGGTTTGCTTCTAAATATTTTTTTAATAACTAAACTTTAATGTGTTTTTCTTTTGTTCGGTTTTTGGTTATGAGAGGCGGCTAAAAAAGTGGACCGTTGAAGGTGACATACTCTTCCGGTCCTTATATAGGACCTAATTTTGAGTTAGTTTTGGTCCTAAATATAAGACCCATTTCTCATATTTATCAATTATCTCTAAATTACCCCTATGGATACTCCCTCAACCTATCAAGTAGAAGAGGGGGAGGGTATTAAGAAAGATGATTATGGTTTTTTAGGAAAAATGTGTCACTTTTCTTATAATTAACTAACTTACCTAACTTCTTTAATCTAATCAAATTAGTTAAATGAATCTTATATTAAAGACCGGAGGAATATATACACACGCAAGGGAGGTAAAACGAATATATGTGTAATTTGTAGAGGAGAGGTCGATGCGCGGATGAGGATGGTGGGCTGGAGTTATTGTGAAGAACAGCTTTAGATTTGAGCATTTTCTGGGAGATAGGTGATCACGTCATCACTTTGCGGGTGGTAAAATCCTGTGATTGTGTGCCAGGGCAGCTCTTTTCGCTCCTCGTTCGTTTCCATAGTTAGAGCTGGATGGACTGCCCGGTTGATTTTAAACACAATACTAGTATATATTAGACACACACGCAGATATAATCTGTCATTAATAAATATACAGTGACGTGGATGACGATTCCTTCTATTATAGAAAAAATGTCAGAAGCATGTGGGAGAGTGGCGGGTGACGGAAAAGGAAGCCGATATGGATGTGTTTGGATGAAACCAAACCGTGGTTTAGAAAAGTGATTCTGGAGAATAGATTTTGGGGAGAATAGATTCTGTGAAGAATAGATTTTGTAAAAAAGTGATTCTGAGAAGTGAGAGTGTTTAGATAGTTGTTATCAGAAGCACTTTTTATATATACAAATTACTAAAAAAAACATAAGTTAATATGATAATCACAGAAAAAATAGATTTTATGATATATTTTAATTTGAAGGAATAAAATTGTTAATAATATATTTTTTACCAACATAATTAATAATATATAAGATAATATAATTAATAAATAATTAATGTGTATATATATTTATAAAATATAAGATTAAATATGTTTATAAAAAAATATGTTTATAAAAAAAATAACAAGATACATATCATATAGGCTCTCACACTCTCCTTTTTTTCTCCAAAAACAAAATTTTTTGCTTTTTTCCAAAATCATGGTTTTGGTTTTTGAGAGGGTGTTTGGGTGATTTATTCTCCAAACCATGGTTTGGGTTTGGGGTGTCACTCAAACACACCCATAATAATGGTAAAAGCCAAGCAGGGAGGTGCCTGTAACAATGCGAATGGTATATTATATGATATAGTAACTTAAAGGACAAGTCGAGTGTTTGGCCAAAAAAAAAAAAAGGACAAGTTGAGGGGGGCACTTTAAACGTAGGATGTGTTTGGGACTTTCTTGTGGGGAAAGCCTGAGAACTGATTGGACGGGGGGATTCCAAAATCTGTGATTGCATCCACTGTATATGCGCACCATTACTCTTTCCTGTCCTCCCCCTCTTGCCAGTTGCCCCTTATGTCACCACTCACGTAATAACATTTTAGTGAAAAAGAACGAAAAAGCTTGACCTTTTTTTTTTTTATAACTACTCTGAATTAAATAATGTGAATCAATAATACCATTGGAATATAAATAAGAATATGTGCGTGCGTGGGGATGTCGGAGATTCAGTTTCATATTTTATAACGTACGTGGCATGAGAGACCGCGATTTAATAAAAACAACACGCGCATGAAGGCGAGAAGCAAATTTGAAGCCAACTGATAATTAAACCGAGTTTGCTCTCAGCAAAACTGAAATAGATGACTGATTAGACATTCATCAATTGAGAATATTGATGAATTGAAAGGTGTTTGAATTAGTTTTTTTAAATTTGAATTAGTTTTTTTAAAAGTAATTTTATAATGTATGAGACAGGAATAAAAAGAATTTACCCAGTGAAGACAGTTGTTCAAGTGTTTATAAGGGTTCCCAAACACGCCCTTACACTAATTAATTGGAGCCTGATTAGTTGACAGGCTAGACGTGGGCATTTCTCTTGCTTATCCGCATGAACCAATCGGTCCTACCCCCGCCCTTAAGGCCGCGGCCTGCTGGTCACCAAAATATAATGACCCTGCCTCAGCGTTCAAACCATTACCAAAATTAGAAAATATTTTTATTTAAAATAAAAAGGGGGATCCTGATAAAGCTCTTGGGAAGACGACATGTACGGTGGTGGGTTGAGGTGCAAAGGTCCTTAACGTCAGCACCAGCGGCTGATTTACAAGGGGGTGAGCCCAACACAAAGCCATCAGGCCCTATTCCTTGGTTGACGCTGTGTGTGTGTGTGTGTTCCATTTATCTAGAGACATGTTATTGAGAGGTCGTTTTCTCAAAATTTATGGAAGAAATTAACAAATCCAGGGGATCTCGGATATTCCTAGTGGAATCGAATCAGCGTCCACGCGTCACGAATCATGCCCGCATTGAACTCAATTAGATTCCTGCCTGATATTAATTATTATTGTTCTTTGCTTTCCTATTGAGCCCACTCATAATTCCACGCTTTAATTAATTAACAATCAAGACCTGCCAGGTGTGCCCCTTCCCAGTCCCACTCGTTCCTTTTTCTGGTGCTCTTTGTTAGTTTTAGAATGGAATTTAATTTAATTTAATTTTAATTTCAGTGTTGGGGGAGGGGGGTAACTGAGCTGGATTAGCATGGTAATGGATGAATGATTAATGCAGAGGCGGGATAAGAAGCACGTGGCGGGCCATGCAGGCGGTGCATGGAAGGAGCCGGCCGCACGTGAGAGGCCACGTGTCAGTACCTTCCAGAAGAGGGGGGTGAAGTAACAGAAACAGATGAAACAAGGCCATTCCACCACTTTACTACTTCTGCTCATTCGCAGAAACAGTCATATTGCGATCTGCGCCTGTACGTGCTTTCAACTTTTGGATCGCCCCACCCCTTCCTTTTTTAACATTTTATGTGATCGTGGAAAATTTATAAACCATGGATAGACTTGTTAAGATAGGCACGGTGGATGATGGGATTTGTTAACCCAGGCCAGGTTGTTCTAATAGGAGCATTTCATACTTCTTTTAATTTCCTAGGGGAATGATAAATTTAAGAATTATGGCGCCGTGTCGTCCACTTGGGAGGGGACATCAGAGACGATCAGAGGAAATATATAATTTCCCAGATACCGTTGCCTTTTGAACGTCGAATCTTAATTAATAAGGACTTGAATATTGAAGAGGAGGCGCTAGTGGGAGGAGTGGCCCTGTGATCAACATCATCATCACATAACTCATTCTTCCTTTTGTTTTATTGTCCAAGTGAAGAGGGAGAACAGTATCTAACACCCTGATTCCTCGCGAAGATGCCTTTTGTTCATTGAGATACCCATGAATCATGTTTTGTTTTTAGCGGACAAAAACATGAGGTCACCGCCATATATATATAGGTGTGGTTTTCGTTAAAAGCAACCCGCCCTCATCACACCAACTAACAACCACCCCCATCGGATTCCTGCTTCCCCATTTTTTAATATACTATTATTTCTTAATTCTTAACAGTTATTTGTTACGTTCATAGCATCCACAAATCCTGTAACTATGTGAACCGAAGTCAAAGAATGGAAATCCATCCCTTGCGCTGAACGTTTCGCCTGCGACCTTTCGACTTACTCGCTTGCTACCCCTCTATAATATTTCCCCCCGATTCGAGCATAAGCATGTGCTCAATAATTGTCGTTCATGAGGATTTTTTTTTTTTTTAAATGAAGGTTGTTCATGAGTACTTTGATATCACATGTATAGTTATACATTCATTCTTAATGAATAAACTTGATTGCGTGAATCATGCTTAGCTTCAGTCACGAGATGTCCAGTTCATTAGCACCTCTGTTGGTGACTTGGGCTTTGGTAAGCCCTATTCTCAAACGGTCTCGTGGGCCTAGACAACCTACGCCGGCCCTTCGTGGGCTCCTGTACTGAGCCCAAGGATGTCTTAGGTTTATTTTCCTTCTTACCATATCGTTTGAGCGGGTGACCAATGCTACTGGGAATTCTGGAAAGAAGCCCATGAGCGGAGAAGTTTCCAGAACTTTTTCCAAAATATCCGAGGCCACATCGGAGGGACACGTGGCGGAAATTCGTAACTAAAACGAAAACCCCCCAGATCTCTATTCCTTTTGTGTCTCTAGAATCTTCTTTTCCACCGCCTTAAAATCTATCATCTCTCTCTGTCCTCTGTTAATTCCCCGAGCTTAATAAACTTCCTAAAATCAAAGTACTAGACCCATAAGAGGCTCCTGAACTTACCAAAAACACTCTACGACTACTGACTCTGCCAGTGAACGTCACTCTTCCTGGCCCTTGTTCTTCTCTGTAACCCGCGGTATGGCTGGGGTGAGAGTGAAAGTGGAAGAAACGGTGGCATGTGGAGCTGGTTCGTCATCTTCGCCTTCATCTTCTGCTTCGAGTCTCTCTCCTCGCCCTATGGAGGGGCTGCACGAGATGGGGCCTCCTCCATTTCTTACCAAGACCTTTGAGATGGTGGAAGACCCATCCACCGACCCTGTTGTTTCTTGGAGCCGTGCTCGTAACAGCTTCATTGTCTGGGACTCTCACAAGTTCTCCACCACCATTCTTCCTCGCTACTTCAAGCACGGCAACTTTTCCAGCTTCATTCGCCAGCTCAACACATATGTAAGTATCTGCTGCTCTCTATTTCGACTCTAGAATTAGCCTCCCCTGTTTAGGAATTTGATTGCTGTTTTTACTTTATGGATGATGGCTTTTATTTTGATTTTGACATCAGTTTTTAGTGATAAAGTTAACTCCTATCTGTGTCGTTTAGCTTGGACAAAGAACAGAGGACTATTAGAATGCACAACTGAATCATTTATATGCATCCGTATCTGAATGTAGGGAAAAGCAATACAACTACCGAGTTTATTGTCATACTCTGTTTGTGGTCAAAATGGATCTCGATACGTGGATTAATTTATAAATTTAACTGATGTATTCATTTGTTTCATCCTCGTATAATTTTATAGAAGTTTTGGAATAATGGGCCTTAAGTCCTTAACTTGGGAAATGGATGCAGGGATTTAGAAAAGTTGATCCTGATCGCTGGGAATTTGCAAACGAAGGGTTTTTGAGTGGACAGAAGCACTTATTGAAGACAATCAAGAGAAGAAGAAATGTGTCGCAGAGTGTACAGCAAGAACGGGGTGTTGCTTGTGTTGAAGTGGGGCAATACGGATTTGAAGGCGAGCTCGACAGGCTGAGGAGAGACAGGACGGTGATCATGACCGAAATTGTGAAATTGAGACAGCAGCAGCAGAATTCGCGGGCGCAACTGATTGCGATGGAGGAAAGATTACAGTCCACGGAGAAGAAACAGCAACAGATCCTCACTTTCCTTGCCAAAGCACTGAACAACCCCACTTTTATACAACAATTTGCCCAGAGAAACGCCCAAAACAAAGAATTACTTGGTGTTGATATGAGGCGAAAGAGGAGACTAACTGCTAGCCCGAGTGTGGAGAATTTACAGGATGATTCTGTGACGGTGGCAGTGCCTAGTGAACCAGTGGTGGACTATTCCACAAATGAAGAGGAAGAACTGGCAACGATAGAATCTGAGATAGAGACTTTTTTCTCAGCTCCTCACGATAATGAGTCAAGCAGTGACAAGAAAGAGCCAGCATCAAGTTCAATTCCTACAGCTAGCGGGAGCAACCTGGGTTCAGTGAGTGACGCAATTTGGGAGGACTTGCTGAACGAAGACTTAGTTCACGGCAATCCGGAGGAGGAAATCATATTTGGTGAGCAGTCCCAAACCGATGCTGCAGTGGAAGAGTTGATAGGAAAGTCTGATGAGTGGGCTGACGGCCTAGAGGACTTAGTAGATCAATTGGGTTATCTTGGGTCCAAGCCCCAGTAAATATGAAGTGGTTCATTTTTATCAGTTTGGCCTCTGCAATTCCATTGTCCGTTCCCTGCTTAACTAGTGGTACGACTTCAAGTTTTTAGTGAATGTTTATGATTTCAGAAATTTCAACGGTAGTAATTGATGTGCTATATGAATGGTTTTGCATGCAGCAGGGAAAATGGGGTAGCTGCTGCAGAGGCCATCACATACTGCTGTTTTATCTGTATCCTTATAAATCAACCTAGGCGTTTGAATATTTGTTGTGCTTAACTGCTTATTACGATTGATTCCCTTTCCCTTGTTGTTAACTACATGGTGACTTTTGCAGGCTTGTGTCCACAAGGAGACGAAGTTGTGTAGTCCTGCCTAGGATCACTGCTTGCATTCTTTCTGGGTTTACCGTTTTGGCATGGGGGAATTGGAAGCTTCAGTTACTTGTGCATGACGTAAACTGCTACTTCGTAAGAGAAATAATCTGGAACATTCTTTGGCTTGCTACATGCATTGCATACTGTATTATATGGTCATTATTTGTATAGAAGTGGATGGACAATAATATTCACAATCCATCATGTTGTATCAAGAAAGATTTCTTGATTAACAAGTTTGATGAGTCGATTTTGCTATTGACCCGAGTTGGGCTTATGTTCCATGCAACAACTAATAACATACCACATTGGGGTAGTTGACGAATGATGATGATACAGAAGCGACAGGATGTTACATTGGTCTGCAATTCTGCGTGAGGAAGAAGGGTTTGGAAGCTATGCTACTACGGAAGTTTCCATTCCCGTCTCTCTGCGAGTCTCATTCCTGTTCTCTGACTTTTCAAAGTCATGAAGCTGCCAGAGCTGTGGTAATGCCTCCTTTAGGTTATGGATGCTTTCTAATGTAAAATCCACGCCATCTGACTGTAAAGGAGAGCCAACCTGCAGCAATTAATGAAAAACGCGTAAGCACAGCGTAGGAAATGTTGTTCTTTTGGTCATGCATTATCTAAGCAATCAAAATCCTTCATACCAACACAGTTTGGAGCCCCACACGCTTTGCAGCCTGTATGTTGCGAATGCTGTCGTCGAAGAATAACTGTATATGGGAAGATTTCTCAGTTAATCATGTGTGTTTATTTACAAACTGAATAATGGTAGTGGGTAGCATAGTAAATTAGGAGCTAACCGTTTTCCTGGGGTCAATGTCAGCTTTTTTAAAAGCAACTTCAAACGCAATCTCTTGGGGTTTGCAAAAGATAGGAATTGGTAGGGACGCTGAGCCGTTAGTGTCATTTGTATTGGGAGGGGGATTCAGATTCTCGTAGCAAATGGTTTCATCGAAACAGCCCTCTAATCCAAGCCTCTTGATAACCTTGGCTACGTGAGCCTTGTCCCCATTGCTGAATATCTGTTTTATAATGTTGAGATGAGCAAATCGTGTTTGGTACTCAGGCATCTATTTATGTATCAGAAGCACCGCAGAAACTTACAACTTTCCGTACAGGCAGGCTAAGAAGAAGGGTCCTGAGGTGGTAGTCATGATGCAGTTTCGCATAGGATAATCTCCCATGAACAAAGCTGTGCAACCCAAGTAATTGATCGTTAATATCACTCCTTTATGCTAAATAAAGACAATCTGGGGAGGATTTTAAATGGGCACGTACCTGTGATAGTCATCATAATCAAAATCGTAGCCAGCGGCCTGAACAATATTAGTGAAAACTCGTGAATATATGCTTTGAAAGAAGCTTAAGAGGATATAAAGAAAAAACTGGAAGAAGTTTGACTGCTACCCTAAGACCGGCCATGGATGTGCCATAATTCTTGTACAAAACTTGATTCATTTTAGGGGCTTCTTTTTCGTCTATGCCAAGTCTCTGAACCATATATTCTATACAAATGCAAAATTAAGGAATATAAGAAGGCAGTGTATCCAAGGAAAAACAACGGAAAGACGAAAATTGAAGTCATAATGATACCGATTATATTTTGGGCGCATTCTTTTGACAAACCAGAGCTCAGGGGATATAGAGTGTCATCAACATCTGCAAGTGCAAACACATGAAATGTTACAAACCAACTTTTAATTCAGACGTCGTTCTTGTTCAGGAAATACGACGATTCAGATGGCAAACAGAACACTTACCGAAGAGAAGACACTCGTATTTCGGCAGTAACTCCTGCTGGAAAATTTTTCCCGGTTCCATTTATCAATATCAGTACTTCTAAGATTAAGGCAGTACCAGAGAGAAAGCAGCAAAGTATGATTATGAAAGGAATGTGTTTTGAGCGAATAGGGAGTTGGGGATCATGGGGTTTATATAACCAAGCCATTGCTTTCTCCTTCCCGAGGTCAAGTCTGATTGTCTGAACACACATTTGAAGACGTACGCGAACGCCCATGTGACTCTAATGATTTTCATGACAAGAATAGGATTTGTGCGAATTTCTTATTGACCGTGGCTTCCCAAGTCTTATATTTTCCGTTTAAAAACCTCGTCAACGGTCTTTCTTTTTTATGGTTTATGATTTACGAATGCGACCGTGCGAGCGGTAGATAAGGTTAGTTTTAAAAGTGTTATTGTCCATGATTGGACAAAATATAAAAACAACAGGGAAGCAATTGAATCGAGGTGTGAAAAGCTTTAAAAGATCATGGTCATAGTCATACGATCCATCATCAACTCTATTATTATGGAATCATCCCGCGTTTATGATCAATATCATCATCATCGTTCTATTTGTTTCTGTTGCTTACTTTTTAATTAGTTAATGTCAAGTCCAACAATGTTGGCGACACGAGGAACTTCAAAAAAAATTGGAGTATTATATTTTTATATTCTCGATGAACTAAGGCCATGCATCCGTGTTATACTTTGACCTGGCAAAAAATCAACTTTTTAATCGAATATATAACATGGGTTTAGCTAGTATCTATAATTAATAGCTTTAATTTTAAAGTTTTATTAATTTTAACTAATTTTCTTAACTTAAATAAAGTGATCAATTAGCAGCAATATCAGTCCACGCTACCTTATTCGTCTGGGAATTTCAAATGAGATAAATAGACCTTGTTCTTGCGATGCCTTCCCCCGCCAGAATATTGCAGCATCCATGTGCAAGGCCTTATCCTCAGCTGCAAATCTCTGCAATGTTCATAGGGAAGCTTCACATACATAGCTTAGGTTGCAAACCCCGAAACCTTAAAAGCTCCATTTGGAGGAACCATCGTTTCCCCAGCGCTGACCTTGGTTTTCAGGATGTCCTTCAGTAATCTTCATTGTTTCTTATTTACCCTACATAGGCCCTACCTAAGTCTAAAAGGCATCTTAATTGACATTTGGGTCATTTTTAAGGAAATTATTGACGCTTCAATCCCTTGGAAAAAAAAAATGATGACTATGATACATTATGTTGGTAAATTTTTATTTATTTATTTTTAAGGCAGAGATCAAAATGTTGTTGCCCTCAAATCATTCCAACTGATGAAGGTGTAAGGCATTCTCTGTTCGGAATTTGACAAAGCTTGAATTTGATACCCAATTGGGAACGGTGTTCTGAAAGTAAATGCTAACTGTTTAAGTATTTGTCAATGCAAAGAAAGGTTCATTGGGAGGCTGCTGATAATGATGTGTCCTGTTCCCATTTGCCGTTCTACTTATTCTAGAATCTCATGTAGCGTACGTAACTGTGTTTTTCCACCTTCCTTGATTACGTTCCCACAAAGTTGGCAGCTTGGTTTTCATTTTGCGTCCAACGATGGATCATCTTCTTGCTTATGCTTTTGAAAGTTGCGTAGAGGATTGAATGATGACCAACAGAAAAGATCGATTGTTAAAACCTAAACTGTACATCTATCTCAATATAACAGGAGAAAATATTTATGAAACAAGAGAAATAAGAAACGGTTGTTAAATTACATATCGTTTTGATCGGTTTGTTGCTTTTGAATGTTAGGATCAGGATGGATATCCTGATCGATTGAAGACATTTGTTTAGAAATGGATAAGGTGCTATTGTTTCTAGGGTGGTAGGCTGAGATTTTCTTGCCTTTCCCCTCATAAATCACGGCACTCTCCTCCTCATCGGGAACACATTTGTCCCCCAGGATTATTGTTTTCATCCATACGGATTCCTCTGCTTTCAACTTCTCTTTCTTTCGTCCGTCCTCTTTCGGATCACTGTGTTTGGCCACAGACAAACTTCTAGGCACCTTCTTCAAGCTCAAGCTAAACGATAATCTGCGTTCCGAACTAGCTTTCTTCATATTCCTAGTAGATCTGGACTCCCTCGAATGCTGCATTGCGGGCGGAAGATGTAAATCATCGTTCTGGTTTTCCACTTCATCATTAGTCTGAGGCAATTCGGCATCCAAGTCGCTGGCTGTGTGCAGATGATCGGACGGAGGAGGAGACGAATCTTTCTTCCGAGATCGAACACCGCACAGTGCGGTGATAATTACAATGCTCGCAGCCAAGGTCGCGGCGAGGAAGGAGAAATACAGAAGCGGATGTATCAACAAGAGATTTTGATTATTATCAGAAGCAGGGATTCTTCTTCCCATGAGAGCATTTAAGTGGATGGATGGTATGCGGGCGATTCCTAGCGTCTCTTTGCTTTGTTTCCTGGTGGGGCATTCAAGAGACGAGTGCTTTGCGTTGGTTAGGCGTGGTTGGAGTCTGTCCCAAACCGATTGCTTCAAAATAGAAAAGGAGAGAGTGGTGTAGGTTTTCCATTGTTGGCGCATCAAGCTAGCCTTATGACGTTAGAAACCCTACACATATCACAAGTCTCTCCCACACATACTCTCTGCTTTAGCACATAACAGATTACTGTTGGATCACTGGCAGCTACCATTTTGGATCTCTTTCATGCATTCATCTATATTTATGGGCAGAAATATAACTACAATATTATATATATATATATATATCATTCATCTTTTTTTTCCTTTGTTAATTGTTACTTTTCCGAACGTCATCTTTGGAATTGCATGGACTCTCCCTTAAATTCTGTGATACTGAAAGTAGCTTGCAGGGAACATCTTGAGACTTGCGGTGGCTGGAGGGTCGTACGTTGAACTCATAAAATATGGCCAAGGGAGAATAAAGTTTTCTGACAACGTAAAATTATTCCATTTTTGATTCAATTGCCTCGTCAAAATCCTTCTCCTCTGTAGGCATGAATGATGTTATTAATTTTTTTCTCGGGAAAAAACCTTTTTTTTTAATGTTCATACCAATGTATCCGATCATGAAGGACTATATAGTCATATCATATGACACATTCACAAAAAAAAAAAAACACGTAAGTTATATGGGTATTCTTACATGAATGGGAAGACGACACGTTGAATTGCAAAAGAATAGAGCACGTGGGCTTTTTGCTGTGGTATTTATCTATTCGATTATTGCTCCCTGCTCTGCGCTTCCATAGTCCATTTAGAATGAATCAATAAAACAACCGTGGGAAAATTTTTCTAGCTTTTGGTTGCCTGCTTAAAAAGGCATTCGAATAAAGTATAAAGAAAGTGATATCATCTGTTCAAAGGTTGCCTTTTTGTCTTGATTTGTTGCTGTTGAAGATAAGCGACAAAGAGAGCACTAACTCTGAATGGAGGACGGCTTCCATAGAAGCAAGTTCAAGAAGGTCTGTGTCTTCTGCGGCAGCAACTCCGGCAACAGACAAATCTTCACCGATGCCGCGGTTGATCTGGGTCATGAACTGGTCGGTTATTTTTCATCACACTCGCTTCTTTTCTTTTGGTCGCAGCTCACGTACTGTATATGTTACTTCATGTTCTGTACAGAGGTTGTTCGCCGTTTTATAACGGTGTTTAATGCGTACATGGTGATGATAGTTAAATTTGGTTCGTTTAGTAGAAACCATTAAACTACCTTGTGGTCAAATAATGCTGAACAGGTTCACATAAATGCTTCTATTGCTCTAGACAAGAATTCTGATACACTGGACAGAACCTGGGGCGTTCTTCGGGTCTGGTGTTAATGCACAGCACAACACAGCAGAGTTCATTATTCTGGGTTTTGTGGTTTTACTTTGTGGTTTGAATTACAGGTCAAGAGAAAGATAGATTTGATTTACGGTGGGGCTAATGTTGGACTGATGGGCATAATTTCTCAGAGAGTGTATGATGGAGGCTGCCGTGTCCTTGGGTATGCCTAAAACGACATCCTTTGTTCGTTGTGCTTATTACGAGTTACCGTGTTCATTTTCTTGCGTACGCGGTGTGGCATGGATCACAATGAGTCATCTATATTTGCTCATTCCTCTCATTCTTTCTCTCTTTATATGCAGGATCATTCCAAAAGCTCTCATACCTGTTGAGGTATTTGGTTTTATTAATTCCTCTTTCCTGACCTAGTTAATTGAATCATCTACAAATGAACTGGTTCTTGTTCTGTTACCTACTTTATGGATTCATATTATGAGGACACGATTCGCCAAAGTAATCTGAACAAATTATGGGAGCATCTCTTTGTCATGGAAGAAATTCATAATTTACTTTCATCATAGTACAGATATCAGCTAATTATGGTGAGAATATGGAAAATTTAACCAGATATCTGGAGAATCAGTCGGTGAAGTGAGAATAGTTTCAGATATGCACGAGCGTAAAGCTGCAATGGCTCGTGAGGCTGAAGCTTTTATTGCTCTCCCAGGTAGTTTCCTGAACAGTCCTCGTCAATATATTCTTCTTGAATGCCAATAGAAAATTTTCTTTTGATGTACTGAAATTTGTTCTTCCCATCTTATTGGGATTTTTTTTTTTTTTGGATCGATGAGCTTAACATATAATACTGACCTACGCCTTTCCTTATAATAAGGAGGATATGGAACCATGGAAGAGCTGTTGGAGATAATAACTTGGGCCCAACTTGGAATTCATAAAAAACCGGTAACTTGATGTTCTAACCGTTAAAATTGGCATCCTTGGTAAAACATAATTGTTAACTAAATATGATTCTACGCAGGTTGGTCTACTGAATGTTGATGGTTACTATAATTGTTTGCTTGCATTATTCGACAATGGAGTTAAAGAAGGCTTTATCAGGCCTTGTGCTCGGAATATAGTTGTTTCAGCTTCAACGGCCAAAGAACTTGTGATGAAGATGGAGGTGTAACCATGACTTATATGCACAAAGGATTAATTAAATTATCTCTTGGCCATTTGTGATGTAGCATCATATTTGTAGGCTTTATCAGATATTGTAAGTTCCATAAACCCTTTTACTCAAAAACACTAAATGTTGAATTCTTCTGCTGCAGCATTACACTCCTTCGCATGACCATGTCGCTACTTATGAGAGCTGGCAGAAGGCAGATGGAGCAAAGCAACAAAATAATGCCAAGGACAAGAAAATGCAGAATGAGACTTTCATCGCTCGCATGCCCTTCTCCTGAACTGATTCTGGATGTGATTCTTCTTCATTAGAGCTGTGTGCTAGAGCCTGTGTAGAGTGGGGTCTTCTATGTTTGTCCACAACTGGAAACCATGGCTGCTCACTGTGAGTGGAGTGCTAGCTTATGTGCTTGGTTGCTTTGCATCATTTTTTGTTTTTAAATAAATGGACAGTCGAACCACTGTTTGGGAGTCATATCTCCGGTTGTTTCCACTTATTTACTACCAAAATGTAAAGAGATGACAAGCACTTCCTGAGCAGAATCTTACTTGTTCGTAGTGGGGTGTGGCCATGGCTCCACTATGTAGTGGCTTACTTGGAAAACATAGTTTAATCAAGGACGACCTAGACTTTTGGGGAACACGAAGACTTTCAGGAGACTCACTAAGGTTTTATTATTCACCCCTCATTTATTAAACAAAGAAAGATGGGATTGCTATTTAGATATGTCTATATATATATATATATATATATATATATAAAATACCCACACAAAAAAAAGATGAAGGGGAAGAGATAATTTCCCCTGGTTTCAATTATGGAAGCAAGCCCAAATGCATAAAAGAACAATTTTCACACCCAATACATTGACTCTTCGCACTATTAGCATAAATGAAACATAATAATTGTTGTGCAAGTGACAACTGTGTCCCTCTCCCCACAAAAAGAAAAAAAAAAAAGAGAAAAGAAAAAGGTTAATCCGAATTTCAAAAGCTTGAAAAGATGCTTTCATTATATGAGAAGCCAATTCCGGGAATTCTTTGTCTTCTTCCATGGCATAGTCCCCTGCTGTTAAAACATGTGTTCGGACATGAGATGTTGAACATGATTTTCAAATACTGTTGCAGTTAGCTGAAGAAAGGCTTCCTTTCTCTCCGTTTCTTCTCTTCCAGTTAAGCTGTTTCTTCTTCTTGATATCAAGATTTGAGAGAAAGATACGTTCAGAAACTTCAATAAATGAATATATTCGTGCAAGTTTAGAGGTCATTCTTGATCTGGAATATCACATAACGCAAATTAAGGCTGATATTAGTGTGTGGGCGGTGGCGTGGATTAGACATCCTCAGAAAACAGTGAAAAGATGGTGCAACTAGTACTCGGTAAAACGTGTGGTTTGTAGGGAGCGCTAGCCCAGAGAGACTATCCATTAGTGTTGGTAAGTTTGCCGATCCACTAATTTATAGATAACTTTTTACCATGTTAAACCAATTTGGCAATTGGAAACATGAGACTTGCGATGTTTTCCGGTTCAAGATTGGCCATATTAAGAGGTGCTAAGTGCATCTAACAGGAAATTTCTTTAGAAGCTAGTGTCCCTAGGATAGGACCCATATCAGTGTCTTCTTTTCCCTTTGATTAGTCCCCTCTTGTCTCTTACGGTCTTTTTTCACTGCAGGAATAGACTGCCTTCATGCCTCTTCCCTTTGAAAATGTGGCCCCTTACAACTTGCGGGGGAAAGACACGAGTCTCAGGTTTCATAATGCTCCTGGGGTTTATCAATAAGGTATTTGTCTTGCTTGCATCATGGAATCTTCCACCAATGGTAGCATAATTGTCCTTGTCTTTGTCGTTTGGTCAAATCAGGCAGAGTAAATGGCTATTACTTGCTCCTAAGGGGGTCTCTTCCGTCCTCTCTCTTATCTTTTCCGGACCAGTCATGAAGGTTCTGCAGAGGTATTCAGTCTCTTCCCTCTTATCTCCATTACCTTTATCTTTCTTGGCTTTTAGCATTTCTAAGATGCCATTGCTATCGAAGCTGCCTTCGCTTCAATTTTTGTGTCTTTAAATCTCTATAATACCGACATTACCATCTATTACGATTGCAGGCAAGAGAACCTGTATCAAAATAATAGTTTAATCAGTAACTAGTGCCGTATATAGCAAGTTATTTCACAGATTAGATATAAATATATATTTTTTGATCAATAATATTTTATAATTGAGTACATATTAGAATAGAGCAACACAAGACACCTTGTGAGACATGAAGCTCCCTATATCGTTTCCTTGCTATTGAAAAAATTAAAAGCGCATCAGTTCGTTTTCTAGCTTATGGTCCACGTCACCTGCCATTTTATGCTGCTGGTCAACAGGCTACGACCCTAACTGCTAGAGTTGCCGAGGGATTGAAGTGATATGATATAATTAGTTCATAAAGAGACGTGCAACAGTGTGAGTAAGGGGGGAGTGGGAAGAAAGCACCCAAACGTAGCATTTATTAGCCAAAAACATCACAGTATATTAAAGAAAGTGGAGTCAAATATTGGAAGCAGGATGTTTTTGTACGTGTTGTCTCTGCCTTTTATGTTGAAAGTTTGTAGCCAATTCCCTGTCTTCTTTAATCTTTATTATGCTAAAGTTTGGGTTTTGTTTTAGGATTCAGAAGAGGCTTTTTAAACTGCGCAGTCATTCTATCAGAGGATTTAACTCCATTAAGGTCTTCTTCCTTCTGGTTTTTTGGCTTTCTTGGCTTGGCGGTTTAGCGTGCACCCTGCTCCGGAGTTCTTAATATTCTTTCCAGCAATAAAATATAACGTAATAATGAAAGAAACAAAGAGTGAGAGCAAATGGAATAAGGGAAAGAGTCAAAAACCCAATTGATTGCTTCAACAGGAATGGAGTATATGTCTATCAAATCTGAAATAACTTGAATTGAAACCCCTCCGGTTAAGAAATCTGCAGTCTAAAGATCCTCTGCAAAAAGAATTCAGAAACCAATTGAGATGAAATATCCGTGCAAGAGCTTTGATATCACTATGGTGATTGATTATCACAAGACACAATTGCAATTACTTGTAACAGATAGATTATTATCAATAATTTAAATGACCTAAAATACTCAGTAACTGAAAATTATGTCAACACAGATAAAATAAGAACATAAGTGAAAGACCATGAAGGCCAAACCTCGTCATCTCCATCTTATAAAGCAATTTGTTGCAAACCTAATCTCTATATCAGTAAATGGAAGCACCGCCTGGAAAGGAAAACCTACCATATAGAACCGTGAAATGTTGTACGCATATAGTTTGAACACGATGGAAGGCCTTACAGGACCCAGTGTCGCGACAGGTCGAGCCAAGTAAACCGATAGGAATCCATTTAATTTCCAGTTCTTCTGATGATCACAGAAATTTAAGAAAGAAAGAAAGAAAATCGTGAGGAGGAGTTTAGTTACATGTGGGATACAGAGTAATTGTAGGGAAGCCAGCGAATCACCGCCAGCCATAGACCGCCTGGGAGTACTTATCCTTGAGCCACTTGAAGCCCCTCCTTAAGGACCCTTTGGCCTTACCCTCCACACAGTACATTCTATAGCTAGTAACCCTTTTCTTCCTCTGAAACTCTGCATCAGTGAAGCTCCAAGACTTGGAAATGCTCTTCCCTATCTTTAAGTCCTTGGGACCTTTTTGTGTTTGTGCAAAGGAGGCACTGTGGCACCTGAGATCGTAAGGCCTAGAAGCTTTGTTGCAGCTCTCCACCTGCATCATCACTTGCCCATTTGCAGAACACGTTGATCTGTTGTGCTCCTCCATGGGAATTGCCGAATTAGATGAAGTTTCAAGGCTTTGTTTCTCTTCAATGTTGAAGCTTGCTCTCTCTCAACCAAACGGGTGAACAGGATTTGAGCGACAATGGTAATGTGGGGTCCAACTGAGACCATAAGGGCTGTGGACATTTTCTCATTCTAATTCCACCTCTCTGTCACAGGTAGCGGGAAATCACAAAGTCTGAGACAATTCTTTAATTTTGGCCAAAAAAAAAAAAGACAATTCTTTAAAATTTGCAAGGATTTTGCGGCTGAACAACCTAAGGTTTTTCAGGAACATAATTTGTTCTCCACAACTGTAAGTTTAACAATTGGGGTTGAATTACATCTAACACTCATGAAGTGTTTTTTCAAATACATTTAACATTTTAAAGTATTTTGTAATGTATCCAACACTATAAAGTATTTTTTTGTTTATCTAACACTTCTAAGTATTTTATGACATATCTATTGTTCTGAAATATTTTTTAAATACGTTCAGTATTCTAATTTTTTTTTTTTGCTTTAATATGGATGCACCAAAGATATATTTGAACAATGGATACGTCACAAAATACTTTAAGACACTGGACATATTTAAAAAAAATACTTCGAGTACATTTGAGAACATACCTCAAAAGACCGATGCGTTTTAAATCTTATAAGAATTAGCTTCATGTTATGGTTAGAGGTGGACTGGAGGATGTTGGACTGAAGGGAAGAACATGGGTATTACATAAAAATTCTTAAAGTCTGCTGAAACACTTGCCAAAGACCCACACGAAAATTTAGATTAAAAAAAAAACTGCAGGGAACAATATGGGCATTACATAAAAATGCTAACTCTGATCCTAATCATAAAAACTGGTTGATTAACTTAAAGAGATTAAGAAAAAAAATTAAGTTAGCTATTTGTAATAAATACGTGTTATCTTTCTTAAAATATCCTTGCTAATCTAGTGTATTGACTAGAACAACTATTATTAGAAAAACTACCTTGAAAAAAAAATATAAATATAAAAGATAAAATAAATTAAAATCTTATATTTAAAACTAAAATAAAAATCAAACAAATTCTTTATATTAAGAACCAGAAGTATTACTTAAAATCTGTCAAAACACTTGCCAAGTGACCCACACGAAAATTTAGATTAAAAAACCTTAAGGGAGTTTATATACAAAGTATTTTTCTATTGTTATCATCATTATTATAATTTAAAGGCAAATATACTGTATTCAGAAATTATTTTTCATTCATATAGATTTTTCAATTTTCACCTAATTTGAGGTCTCAAACAACCAACCAGCTTGCATGAATCCGTTTGCCAGGCAAATCAACAAGCAGGTAAGGGTGAGACCACAACGCCAAGTTTCAAGCTTTAGACATTATAACAAAATCTGAAAAAGGAGGAGGATTTTAGATAAAAATCTAACAACATTATGCAATCTTTCTCAAGACACTAGAAATACAAGCAGACTCAGCAAAATTTGCAACACTTCCTGCTAGACTCAACATTACACAAAAAGGCCAACCTCAAGATGCACAATACACTGATCTTCCAGATTCACGGTATCCTTCAATTCATACTAAAAAAGGGGCCAGCGACCATGAAATTAAATTAAATTTGCCCCCTCAATAATAAAGACATTTAGTGATGATGCTGAAACCACATCAAAGAAGATCAGCAACATTGGCTGGGAGCTCCTCTATGACCACGTTATAAAACCTCTGGATGTCAAACAGCATCCTTTCATCATCCCTTGTCACAAAATTGATAGCAACACCTTTCCTTCCAAACCGACCACTACGACCAATTCGATGGAGATAGTTCTCTGGTTGAGTTGGCAGATCATAATTAATCACAAGTGATACTTGCTGGACATCAATACCACGGGCCAGAAGGTCGGTGGTTATTAGCACACGGGAAGAACCAGAACGGAATTCACGCATAATGATATCCCTTGTGTTCTGGTCCATATCTCCATGGGTGGCTGAAACCGTGTGATCTCGGCCTCGCATCTTGTCCGTCAGCCAGTCTACTTTGCGTCTAGTGTTCACAAAGATAACACTTTGGGTGATTGCCAAGGTCTCATAAAGATCACAAAGAGTCTCAAGCTTCCATTCCTCCCTATCAACATTGACATAAAATTGCTTGATCCCCTCTAGTGTAAGCTCATCACGTTTTACCAGAATCCTCACAGGTTTGTTCATGAACTTCCTTGTGATCTCCAAGGCCTCGGGTGGCATAGTGGCAGAGAAAACACCAACCTGAATTTTTGGTGGCAGCAGCTGAAAAATATCATAGATCTGGAAGGGGATTAAGAAAGGAAGGAACATCAGTAGGATAAATAAAAAACCAAAAGGAAAAGTTGAAATTACGTGTACTTTAAATTATCTATCAATATATCAATACATACGATAAAATCTAGAGCAAAATGCACTATTCACATCCATGCACAGTGTAATTCATTGCTTTCATGCAATCCGCAGGAAAAGAATGTCACATGTCTCGTTTGATATGCATATGATTGACAGTGCAGTTCACAAGTTTGGAGACACCCTGAATAACTTTTTTCAGAATGATCAGTGATACTCCCAACTATTGGCGCTCCATCCTATAAAACCATATCATTATAAGCAAATAAACTTGTCCGAAGATATTGTCCCCAATAGTATCACCGGTATGCACCTTCTCCTTTTATCTTGGTTCCTCCTCCTTCTCTATGCACCCTCTCTTTATCTTCTCATTTTTCCAGCCTTAAAATTAAAGCCAATCATACATCTACATATTTAGAGGCTAGAATATTATATCATATGACATCAAGACCAGCAGGAAAAAATCAGTATCTAGGAGCATTATACAGCCTGAGGACATAGAGGAAGTTAGGTCATTAAGTTACCATTGAATGGCAACACACGACCAACCAAATTATAGTGTTTGAAAGAGAAATCATTCCGTAGAAAAGATCTTAAACACCAGCAAAGCAGAAGAAAGAAGCAGATTAATTAAAGAGAAGTAGAAAGTGGTAAACAAGGATACCTGATCCTTGAAACCACGAGAAAGCATCTCATCTGCCTCATCCAACACAAACATCTTAATATAATCAGGGCGTAAAGATTGTCTCCGCAGCATGTCAAATACACGACCAGGAGTACCAACAACAACATGGACTCCACTTGAGAGGATGCGTTGATCTTCACGAACACTGGTCCCACCCACACAAGCATGGACCTTAACTCCAAGATAATCACCTAGTGCTCGCATGACCTTCTCAATTTGTTGAGCAAGCTCACGAGTGGGAGCAAGTACCAGAGCCTGACATTCAACTACGCTATAATCAAGCTGCTGCAATATTCCAGAGCAGAAAGTCGCAGTTTTCCCAGTCCCAGACTGGGCTTGCTGAATTACATCAAGACCCTTGCAGAAAGGTACAATTCCCCTTTGCTGGATTGCCGACGGCTTCTCAAAACCTTATCAGAATTAGCATAATGTCAATGTCCAAATTAGTCATGCTGGAAAGTTAAGAGGCATGTCAATTGACTGTATATTAATATCTATGCAAGTAGAAATAAAGGTAGAGGAGCCTATCAAAGGCCTTTCAAATTTGTTTATTAAATGACCACACAAGATAACTTGATTAAAAAAAGTAATATTGAGTTTTCATGCATTAATGCACATACCATATGCGTAAATACCCCTAAGAAGGTTCTCCTGCAATCCCATAGCATCAAAGCTTTCATAAACTTCATCATAACTAGTAAAGAATTCCTGACCATCAGATCCAAGCCTGCTCCAATCAATACATCAAACCAAGAATGAGCATATAACTATAGGCATCCATGGATTATGCATCAAAAAAATATAAGCATGTGTGCACTGGTGCACCCCTACAGAGCATCCAGCATTAACTAAGAAAAGGAAAACATACAACTCATTCATCTTAGCATCAAACTGACGACCATCAAATTGTGATCCCTCTGGTGCCACTCCAGCCATGACTGCAAACTATGAATGAAGTCAAACATCAATTCATTCTATATCTTGCAAATCAAACATGAAATATTTTATGATAAATCACGAGAAATCTGAATTCACACAGTTTATGCGGTCTCATTGTGAATCTGCATCAGGATTCAGTCCCCCCCCCCCCCCCGGTTTTTTAGGATAAAACCGTTTCAGAGTTCAGCAATAGCACCTAACAGATACAAATGAGAGATAGAGACACCAACCAGCAATTTTTCACAGCATAATATGCATTACCTGCTCCATTTAACGGCGGGAAACATGCATCCGTAACACTCAATGAGCCATTTTCCAAGGCACGACAAAATAAATCTTTATACACCAAATATATCATGGAAATAATATTAACTAGTCCACCAACGTTTGCAATAGCATAGATTGAAATAGAATATCATCAACACAGCTAAAAAGAACCGATAACAAATGAATGAAACATTCAAACATATAAAAAAAAAAAAAAAAGTCTTATTTCAAGACAAAAACCCGATGCCGGTTAATTTTTTTAAAAAAGTAGTTAAGCAAATACTGCGGCAAAAAATGAACAGGCTTGTTAAGCTAACAAAAAAAGAAAGATCCCGGAGCCATTCGTGTTTCCCTTGTCCCTAAATATACAGCACCAGACTGGAACACCCCAAATAGCTTTATTAGTGGCGCTTCACTTCCCCAAGTTGTTGAAGGTTTAATATGGGTTCTTTTGATAAAATTTCTTACTAAGCTCAGAAATTAGACAACTCCACAAAAAGTATCGATCTATGAAACAAGTAACCAATCTGAACCAATAATTAGAAACTAAGGATATTTAAAGACCGACGCTTGATAAAATCAACAAAGTGGCAAAAGCAAAAGAAAAAAAATCCCATGAATGAGACACGACTTGCGTAAAGGATGACAAAAAAGAAAAAAGCAGCAAGTTCAAACCTTTGACAGATGAGAGTAAGAACTGAGAAAATGAGTAGGTTGTGGGTTTAGGGTTTCCCAAACT